CCCTATTGCTAAGCCTCCGCTGTCTGTCTGTCTGTCATCAGGCTGTATCTCATGAACCGTGATGGCTAGACAGCTGTAGTTTACAGATGATACATTTCTGTGGCCGCTTTAACAGCAAATACTAAAAAAATATTTAAGTGGGGAAAATTTATTTTACGTGAATACGCGGAAGCTAGCTGGCGGTTCGCCTGATGTGGTAACCAACTGTAACATCAGTAACCCCGATGCGTTGCCACCTTTTAATGAAGTGGGTATAACACTTCGACTTCACGCCGATCATCTCAGAGCCCTGGTAGATCCTGCCCAAAAGCAGTAGCGTGGCTTTAACACAGACAAAAAGTATTGAAAACTATTATTTGCGACATGCATCTCGAACGTGACATTTTTATAACTTGCGTTAAACACCATCTCCGATGCGCGTAGGCGTGGCAGCGTTGAACCAGTACATCTACGTTGTGGGCGGCTACGACGGAGCGCAACAGCTGGCGTCCGTAGAGCGCTACGATACGGAACGCGACTCATGGGAGGTCGTAGCACCCGTCCACGTAGCACGCTCCGCCCTCTCGCTCACCGTGCTCGACAACCAGCTCTACGCGATGGGTAAGCTATCCACCATTTCATCATCACCGATAACGTCCGAGTTCAACTGAGCTCATTTCCATAAAGGGCAACTAAAACGCTGGTATTTACGTGCAAACCATTCTGCAGCCTCATGTTCTTCACTATTCAGAGAGCATTGGCTCAGATTTTATATTGATACACGACATTGCTCGTAGCCATACAACCAGAGCACTTAAGAATGACTCTTGCAAGAAAACACTATTTTTATACCGTAGCCTGCTCACAGTGTATCTACCATCCAACAACCTATTATTAATAGGACCTGTTGAAATTTTATTGGGATATTATAGAATCAACTCTAGGTCTGCACTTCTACAAACCTTGGTTACATGTTAGAAAACCGATTCTTACATACTCAGATTTTTACATACAACCCGCAAACTGACGAACGCCTGCTATTATTCATATTTGATATGCATACTGTCATAGATTTTGAATCCACGCCTAGTCCGTGTATTACATCAGCGTTGTTATTTATTATTGAACGAAATGTTCGAAGTAACTTAATAAAAATTATTCCATTAATTAACGGCTCAATAGACGTGGACCCAATGGATGTGGGGGGTTCGATTCATTATCCCAATACGGGAAAATATTTTGTGATGTTATCGTTGCGTTTTTCTAGTGTGTGGTTTAATATATCTCATGGTCACGGGACAGCGTTTCGTCAGTGTTCAAATTAAAGAGCATTTACATCGGTAAAATAGTTTAATTTAACCTTTCCTTAAACAAAGCACTTTCAAGCTATAATCAATCATAAAATTTCAAGCTTTCATGTCATGTAAAGATATTACCCTCAGCACAGAGGCCTCTCCCCATTAGTGGGACATGTATACGGTGTCACTTTTTGTTTACTTCTTGCGCACACAAACCGCAGGCGGCTACGACGGCACGTCGTTCCTGGACATCGTGGAGGTGTACGAGCCGGCGTCGAACACGTGGCGGGCGGGCACGCCGCTGCCGTCGGTGCGGTCGGGGCACGCGTCGGCCGTGTGCTACCAGCACGTGGCGCCGCACGCGGACGCCGAGCCGGAGCCGGCGGCGGCGCACAAGCTGTGCCGCCGCCACGGCGCCGCGGGCCCCGGCCCCTCCGCGCCCCGCGCCGACGACGTGCCGCTGGCGAACAACATCATCGGCACGCTCTCCAACGCGCGCTGCCCCTCGCAGCCGCACGCGCAGCCCAAGAGGCCCTCCTAGCTCGACGGCCGCGGCGTGACGAGGCTAGCCACGTAACCCACCACCGTGTTTGGATGCATACACTTGTTGGTGCTCTGTCAGATGCGGCGGACGCAAGCCAAACGTCGTACGTTCGTTCGTAGCGCGAGGCCGGCGGCGTTACGTTAAGCTAGCGGTGTGACAAGGCTAACGACATGACAAGGCTAGCCAACTAGACGCCTACAAGACAGTCAGAACGGTTGGCCACACAGCTTGAGGCTAGCGGCGTAATGATAAAGTTCATCACATAACAGAAGGCTTGTAATGTTATCTAAAAAGGCTAATCTGGGCGTTAGTCCACTGACCTTAGCGATCTATCCCAAAGGAAAAACCTATAAAAAGGAATACTTTTACATTTATGACTGGCGATAAGTGTCGAGAAAGGTACGAACGAGTTGCTGCTTACGTTGGCTTATCCATAAAGACCAAATAGAAATTTAAATTGTATACTAATCGCAGACTACCAATTTTCTCACAACACTATATACTATTAACAAGTGAAACCATGGTGCGGATCAACTACAATATTACTGAATATTCAAAATTCAGCGAAACATTTTTGCTAAAACGCGAAATGAAACTAACTAACATATGTATACCGAATTAACAAAAATTTGAATCTCAAGACTACCCGAAGTAACGAGTACTCGGCAGATCATCACAACAAACGTTACTCCGGCTGATGATTTTGCTAAGAGACACTGAAATTTAAAGTTCGGAGGAAAAACAGCCTTCAAGAGACCAGTCTTGTGCGTTTTACGGATATTTCAGACCCAATGCAAAGTGATGCCCAGGGAAAAGTGCTTGTGGTTTGCGACACATGTTTCTTAGATATTCATTTGCATAAGTCGATGTGGTTATATCACCCCGAAATACGACGTTAGCTTTACTAATTAAAAGTTGGGTTTGCACTTTTCATTTTTGCCTATCCCATTCGCGATTACCGATATTTGAAAGTGTATAAGTAATTATTTCGGTGTGCATACTAATGTCAAAGGAATTTCGTCGATTTATTGGGTTCCGCCAAAGACTTTTTATTGCGGTTTAATTCATGTACGCAGTTTATAAGTATTAAACGCGGAATGTATTTTTTCTATCCTATATTTTAATATACTAGAGCTTAAGTTATTACTGGACTTTATTTGTATTAATAATAGAAACGAAAGCCTGTGGTTTCTGAGCATTTTTAGACCTAAATTTTACGTATATACAGTACTCACTACCTAAGTACCACATTTGTATTGATTTCTTGTTTTTACGCGAATATTATACATTGTTAAATGAAAGCGTTTTAAGGACAGCCTACCACAAACATAGGGAAAGGGTTCTAAACGTCTGGTATTTAGAAATCTAATTAAACGCGATAAAATCCGTAAATTAGTTTCATTTAACAATGTGCCATATTTGTTTTAACGAAGCCAATTACTTTAATTGACGTTAATGTTTTAGTTCTGCATTCCTTCATTTTTCTCATCAATACTTATTTTTGGGAATGTTACATTTTTATCATGATGCTTTAATAAATTTGTATTTTGACATTTCCTGGACATCCATTCAAATGTATTGATATATTGTATCAATATGAAAAATGTATTACCCAGATTGATTTGGTTAGTTTTAAGTTATAAATAAACTTAGTTCATAAGATATCAAGGTGCTATTCCTGAGGATATGTACGTCCATTTCCAATACCACTCCATTTGCATAGTTATTGTCTAAACATAAATACAAGTTAACCTAAGTTATTTGTGCATTGTTTAGTTAAAAGTGTCAACTTAAGAACTTTTTAGTGTGGTAATGATTGAGTCCTAATGAGTATCAAGTGAACTCGAATTTTTATAAGTGCATTAAACCAACATTGTTAATCAAAATTGTAGTCAATCTTATGTACATATGATGCAAGTATGTTTAAACTAAGTGTAAATATAATTAACAATTATTTATAAAGAAAATAAAGACTGTTATGGGAATAAATCAAGTTTTTATTTACAAAATGTACAATATAAATTTTTCTGGTCAATTTTTGTTACGAAACATTTTATTTTCTACAAAATTATATTTTTATAATACAATTTAAAAAATACATAAGCAATGGCAGTGTTCTATCTGTTAACATTGATAGATATAAAAACATTTAAAAATAATATTTAATAATTTAAGCACACAGTTATGTTGCATTTAAATAGAAATATGTTTAAGAATTATTATTGTATTGTCAAAATACTGATTGTAAATGAAATATAAAATATTTGTAACTGAGAAAGGTAATGTTTTTATTAAAGTAGAATTATTGAAATTTGTATGAAACCTGTGTTGTTTACCTTAAATTATCAAATCAGGTACCAAATAAACTTAAATATATAATGCAACAATTAGATAAGGGAATGGAACTTAAATGCTTACAAATTAAAAGTATATTACTTTTAGTTCGTAAACATGTGTCCATCCATACCCCCGAAGTATGTTTCTTAATGTAATTAAAAGCATTTATAGTTGATATGCCGCGTATTAGTTACTTCTATAATTTGGTTACGGCTGTCCTCTGTGGCCAGCTTAGGTAATACGTTTCTTTTATTTACGAGATTTAAATTTGAATATACAGAACCATTGTTTAACTTCAAATGCTGTTTATAATCAATGTCTTGTTAAAAAATCGGTAATTCAACAAAATCGCGATATTTTCTTCACTCGCTGAGTTACATTAATTTAAATTCGTTCTGTTTTAATCCAAGATATGTTTGTTTTAATCATTTTCATTTTCAAAATAAGATTCACATAAAAAATTATATTTCGTCTAAGTTACGCCTGTTTAACGCTAATGGAAGGACTGGTAGTATTGACAATGTTTCTGTAAACTTTATTTATAGCCATTCTTTCAAACTATATTAATGAGACCGCATGATTAATAAATAATTATAGAATCAGAGAGCAAATTGCCCAATAATAACTTGAGAGGTGTATTTTCTGATTCTAATTCATAAATAAGCTAACATGCAATGATTATCGTAAAGATAAAAAAATGTATTCTAAATAAGTTCTCTTCAATGACATAAGCAATTTCTTTATATTCAATGGAATTAAAATAAAATTCTATATAAAAACAGAAATATATTGCTATTGCAAACTTCATGAATCACTGTAAATTAACTTATGTTGTTGAATTACGACATCACTCTTTTCACTTTTCTTCTCCGTTTTACAAATATTCTGACATCAGGTACATCTTCATCCTTATGAGAGTCTATATTTTCCCCTGAGAGCTGATTCATTGGCACTAATAAACTTTTGCTAGTAGTAGAATTAGTACTACTTGAACAATCTTGTGGCTTTGAAACAACAGACTCCACTCCTACACATTTAGTGGGTGTTTCTTGTGTCATCTTTGCAGGAGTAGAAGTGGCTAAGGCATGTAGCCCTAGAGTTTTGATTGGTTTTTCTGTGGAAGTTACAACATTATCATGCGGATGTTGTGGTTGTGATCCAGTTGAAATTATTACAGTTTTTACAATGTCATGTGATTCTACATTTATATTTCCATCAATATTTTCTTTAACTACAGATGGCGTTATATCACTTTTCATTTTACGATCATTATTGAACTTATCATTGAATTTCAGGTTTTCATCGATTTCGTATTTATTTTCTTTAACGCCATCATAATGAGATATTGCTTTAATCAAGGGTGTTAAACATACTTGTTCATTTACTGAATCGTTTTGATTATCTTGACCGCTTATTTTTGATGTCTGAGTTTCCTCTATTTCTTCAAGGTTCAAATCAACTGCAGCTTGAGTATCTTCATATATAGTAGCATATTTATCTCTTACCTCTTTTTCATGAATTACTATTCCTAAATCATCAGGCGTAATAAGACTGCTGCTATCACCAAACAGGTCATTAAATTTAGTCTTTATTTCATGTGTTTTTGTATCCTTCTCTTTCTTATTTTTTTTACTTTTACTTCCTTTAGATTGATCGGTGCTGGGGCTTGTTTTTAGCAATTTCTTTTTACCTTTATGTCTTTTAGCATGATCTGTAGATATTTCTTTATCATCCAAAACCTGTTCCTCTTTCTTGCTCAAACAATCTTGAACCTTTGTCAGTGTATTACTATTCTGAATTTTATCGAAATTTTTCAATTCTTTCTGTTTTTTAGGTTTAGCTTTATTTTCTTTTTTTGGTAACTCTGGGCGAGTGTCGATAACATCATTAGTTTCATCACTTAAAATAAGGTCATCTTCAACTATTTTTGTTGATACATCAAATCCATAATGTTTGTTTTCGGCTTTGTTTCCTTTATCATTATCCATGTCATCATCAATATCCTGTATAATGTTATCATCAAAATTATTTTCCTCCTTTAGAGATTTCGGATTAAATACTAGCTGGGGCATTGATTTGACTTCCGGGGGCATATTATTTTCTGAGCAGTGTTTTGAAATATCATGAGAACTGTCCACAATGTCCTTCACCACCTCCGTAGTTGAATTGTTACAAACATCATCTTTAACAGCTTGATCCATATGAAACCCTATATTATCGCCAGTTTTTGTTATTTTACACTCATTTCTTAAAGATGTTGCAGAATCTTTATTCAAACTATTTTTCTTTATTATGTGAGATTTTAGCTTCACATCTTTACTAATATTTTCTGTACAGTTTTTATTCCCAATGGTATTGTTTTCACAAGCTTTTAAGAAATTTTCATTCTCAACTGGTGCTTTAATTGATCCTATATCTTTACGGTCATCAATATTTTCCACTGAAATCTTCAGTGAACTGTTGTTACTCGATTCTTTAGGCAGATTGTTAGAAGTTGGGTTATCAATACCTAAGTATATATTTTTATCCAGCTCTTCAGCATAACTCACTGGAGGCTCAAGTAATGCTTTTGGCATCGGAATTGGATTAAAACCCCAGAGAGTTTTATTAACTGGTTCAATAACCACATTTCTGCCAACAACAGTTGTTAAAAATTCTTTGTCATTGTTACTTATTACTTTATACTTTTTACTGGTAAGTCTTGGATCTTCCAAGTGCATAACAGCAGTATTCATGATCTCTGTAAAAAAAATCAGTGATCTAAAATGTCTACCAATTAAAAAGCACACCATCCATTAAATTTATTGAAACTTTTGAATTACTTACCTTTAATAGGTGCAGTGGATATAAAATTTTCAGAATAAACATGATCGGGTGATTGACAAGATAGCTGTTCTTTTAATTCTAACGGTGAACAGATTCTTCTTTTGCTGAAATCCATTTCCCTTTGCACTCTATTGTAATCTTGTGTATGCCTAAAGCCGTGTTCAGTTTTTTGTCGTTTATGACTTGGCTCATCAAAATCATCTGAATGTTTATGTTTCTCTGCATATCTGTCATCATCATTCCAATTTCTCATACAATCATTTGAGCGATCCCATTCATAATTTGATCTACGATCTCTGCTCCTACTTTTGCGATACGAATTTTCACGTGGGGGGCTTTCATAAGCTCTTCGGTTGTTGTACTCAAACCTTTGATAATATTCGTCCACATAATTGGCTGTACCTCTATGATATGATCTGTCTGGACTAAAATTCTCTCTATGTCTATGTGCAGATTCATATTTGTCTCTATTTCTGTTGCGGTCAGTAGAGTTGCGCCAATTATTCTTATTGTATTTAGAATAATTGCCTGTCAATGGCTCGTAATAACGTGAATAATTATTTTCAATGCTTGAATTTTCTGACATTCTGTTACTGTAATAATTTTTTTCGTTAAACCTTTTCACTATTTCGTCTTTTCGTGGATAGTTCTTATTTAATTTTGACTCTACGCTCTGTTCACAGTCTTCATCAGAACTGAACTTAACTTCATTGTCGCTGAAAAATATAATTACAATGACGAATATTGTTTTCCCATCCAATTTAAAGGTTTGGAAATCTCTTTTATGCGAGAGTATGCAAGTGACTTTGCCTGATGTTATAAGATGTCCGCTACCTATGGCTTGAAACACACCATAAAAACCCAATGCAAAAGGCAATGTAGCCTCCATTTTAAGCTGGCCTTCTGTGAGGTAGCGTTACTCCCTCAATCTTCCTTGTCCAATAGGGCTATATTGGAATCTGTGGCCCTACCATAATGTGTAGACATAATGTATATAAACAAAGAAGAAAATAACTTATATTCATTGTTATTTTATTGAACTTATATTGATAAATTGCTTATTGTATTATCATTCATTTTGGATGGTCACCGGAATGACTGAGGCATTAAGATCATTGTTAAACAGGATCATCGGACTTTGTTATGCTTTTGTTATAAATGTATATACAAACTAAATTTGCTGTTAAATGTTGAGCATGGGCCAGGATGTAAAAATAGTTTGATTTAGTGAAATTAAATTAGTTTTTATAACAATTAAGAACTTACCTTATCAATGGCATTGATTTTCTTCTCTCTGAAATTTTCTTAAGCCTTATCTTATTGTCCCTATAGTGGGGTCTGATTGAGGCTTCCATGTTATTATCTTTATATGTGCCACTCTTTGCTTCTTGAATATAATTTTTATCCTGATTATATTCACCAGCATCATTACAAGCATTTGCATTAGTTTTACCATTAGTTAATTTATTATCTAATGACAATTGGTTATCATTTTTGCTGAAAATAAAATGTAAGCTACCAGTAACTGAAATTATTAACTTAGTACATTATCTAAGACATCAAAATAATAAGGGTAAGTCTAATGTACTATAAATAGTTATGTAATTTAATTTGAAGTAGATCGGATTTGTTACAGCAAGATTTTTATTAGTCTATATACAACTGCATGGTAACTTATAAGAATGCTGTAAATTTATAATTGGGAAATGGTAATAAATAACTACAACAGAGTATACATATACTACCTTACAATTTTTTCTCAAGCATGTAATAAGCCATAAGTAACAACAAAAAAATGCTTTCCACTAATGCAAAAAACCTGCCTCTACATATTACTGAAATATATTGGATCATACATTAAGGTGAAAAGAAGTAGTTAAACTTATCCATATTAGTCTCTAAGTTCAGTTCCTTAATCTTAGTGTAATAGACCGTGAACTGGTCATTATAAACAAGGGTTATATAGAAATAAGGCAGTGACAGTTCATACAATAAATAAATCATACATCTGTAGATCACCTGTACAACAGGCTTATATATGTATTACAATCTGGAAAGTTCAAAGATATAACCGGCTCCAGCGATTTACATGAAATATAGAATGTGCGTAGATTCGCAGGCGAAAAATCGATCGAGCTAGGCTTCATTTTTAGAAAATGTCCTTTTATCCCTGTTTTCAGGGAATGAAAAATATCATTTGAATAAGATGGTAAATTTCGCCGAAAAAAAAATGTTATAATAGCTCGGTCGGTAATCGGGCCGACGCCCAAACAGAAGGCCGTGGTTCACGATCATTTATATTTTTACTTTTTTTAGATTCCAGATCATTGCTTTCTTTATTTTTTGTCTATCTAGATGATTTTGTTCTTTTTTTCCCCTTTTTTTTTTGAAGTTCTTTCTTTTGTGAAAAACACAAGAGTTCATATTTTCTTATTATTGTCCGTAAGATCGAAAAATATTATGCATATTTCATTACTCAGTAATTTGTATCTAAATTTAATTTCCAAAATACATGATTTACAAAAATAAAACAACTGAGCAAAGCTCGGTCCTCCAGGTACTAATATTTTGATTGAAATGTTCTCCTGTAACTAATCACAACGTTTTAACCATTAAAAATAGTTCACTTTAATTTGTTGCTGAATTATCAATCATTTTTGTTCTGTAGACTAATTTCTGTTCTCGAACATGATAACAAACCCATGACATTATATATTATCAAATATATATAATAGTAAACTTACCAATAACTTTTTGAATTTGGAACATGTGAATTTTCTTCCAATTGCTTGACTTCTTGAGTGCTTGAAGTAATTGAGTCAGATTTCTTTTCATATTTAGATTTAACAGTCTCGACTTTCTTATACTTGTTAGGGTTATATACCATCCTACTTTGTCTTGCACTTATAACTAATTTATCTTTTCTGAAAAAATAAACAAAATTATATTTCTCATAAACAAATTTTTATTCATATACTATTTAAAACTTTTTATTTTAAAGTTTGTATGTCTTTGCACAATTTTAACAATTTTTTTAAGTAAGGTGGCAAAGAGAAGGCCTCTGCCATAATGTTGAATGATTATTGCTGTTGGTAGACAGTTGCTTTTATCATCCTCATTTACCTCACCACATGAAATACAAAGGTATAAATACTTTATCTTTATGCTGACCATCCGTTAGATGACCTATGCATGCATCAGCATAGTCTGCCATAGCCACTCCAAGTGGATGATGATATTTTATCTTTGTTGTTTATATTTTATCATATAGTGGTTAGAGTTGGGCAAGAATTGTAGTAAGTGGATATCCTTAAACTATGCAAAAGCCTGGACTACAGATGTGTGCTTAGATTAGAGATGCAGTGAATTCTTACTATTATTTAGTATTCGGCATAACTTTGTTGATATTTTTTTGTTATTGAATACAGAGTAACAGTGTCCATTATAAGATATTTGGTGAATAGATGTTATAAAATAAACTTCTAATTGGCCAAAAGCTAGACTTGAAAATAAGCACAATTTAATTATTAGTAAGATAAAACTTGGTATTATTATCAATAATATAAAAAATGAATCATATTGAAGTTAAATTAACATTTAAAGTTCAAAATGATTGTGGTGCTGAAAAACTAATTTTTATATTAGTAATAGTTCAACTATTCACTATAACAACTATTTGCTGCAACTCTAGTATTTATGTGTTTAAACTTTAAAATGACTTACTCTATATTTAGCTCTTTTATCATAAGTGTTTTTCTTTCAATTTCTGCTCGAGCAGTTTTCAATAAAGAAGAATAATTGTGCTCTAATTTTTTATGCTCCGCAGCTAATTTGTCGTAATCCTGCAAAATGTTCTATAATATCAATCGGCATCCGTCCTGTGCTTAAGGTACATTGCATATTTAATTTAAATATTAATGGATTTATTTTAAATAACCTTAAATATTCAATACATAAATAAACCATCCTCTTGGTTTGGATAGAGTGATTATCCAGTAAAAACAAACCGCACAAGATCGATGCGTAGTAAAGATCTAAGCATACATATTGACAGACAGCGAGACGACTTTGTTTTATACTATGTGATATTTATACAAAATTCTTACTTTTTGTAGTGTATCTATAGCTGTGTTGTATTTTTCAATTTTGGATTTCAGTTCCTTGTTTTCAAATTTAAGCTAAAATTTAAGAGAAAGGATACAATTTAGCATTATCTTTGATCACTTATATAGAAATCACTTATAAATCGATAGGTAAAGGCAATTAAACACCAATGTCAAATATATTTGGCGCTAAAACAAACCTCATCAATTTGCTTTAAGTCTTCATAGTTCTCCAAATTTTCGTATACATCATCCATAGCGGATTAAATCTCGGAAGCTTTTTGTAGCATACGAAAACAATCAAGATTATCTGTAACTAAGACAAGTCTAAATAATTACAATTCAATCTAATGAAAGGCGTCTTTAAAATTTGTTTAGCTTTGACCTGACATTCATACACATTACACAGTAACAGATTAAGTAGAATTTAAAAAAGCTTAAAAGTCCACAGAATAAAAATACAGATTATAGAAATCCCTGTCAAAAATTGTACGTGCTAAGAGTTCAATATTACCATTCGTTCAATAATCTTCAGCTCTTTGTCTATAGCGAACTCTTATTATGTGGCTTACATTCTCCAATCTCATTCGACATTCAGAGTAGTTTTAAAATGTAGGTATTCATTGCTGTATCAACGTTATTTTATTGTAAACCAGTATAACGTATACCGCAATGGATTAAAAAATTTCGAAATATTTTTGTATCTTTATGAATTTATGAATTTATAATCCTAGCAGTTATATTGTAGCAGTGTCTATAGCTATGTTTAATTCTTTATCTATGACTCCAAGTAACATTAACGTTGAGTTGAGTAGATTGCTTGCTGTTACGCCTTGCGTCGACTAGCGCTGAGCTAGTTATCTCACCGTGATCGTGAAGATTGTGTGAAGTGTTTATGTTCATGGATTTCTTTTTGGACTGTTTTCTTTCATACATTTTACAAATTTTTTATAATGCCTGTAATGTTAAAATTTATGAACGGTTTCATTGCCATGATTTGTACGCATAAGTAAAGAGTGCAACAGGCGACTCGAAGAAACGCAAAGGGTTTGTGTAAACAGAAAAGAACATTGTGATTTCAAAATGCCTATGGATTCAGAATGCGAATGTGACCTGGTGTCTAAGGAATGGCTGTTGGCAAAATTACGGTCTGATGAGAGGGATACGATTTTAATAGACTGCCGCGGATCAAATGAGTACGCTATATCTCACATACGATCTGCTGTTAATTTCTCCATACCGAGCATTATGCTACGGCGCCTGGCGGCAGGGAAAATTGAGCTTGCATCGACTGTCCAATGCAAGGAGCTGAAGGCAAGGATCACACATTGTTGCTCCCGGGGTACCTTTGTCTTGTACAGTGATGGTGCGCCACGGGATCCTGATTCTGTTCACGGAATCCTGCTCAGAAGACTTAAACAAGATGGCGTGCAGGTCGTCTGTCTTGAAGGTAACTATTTAATATTTGATACAGTGGCTAAATATTATACACATATTTTTTTTAAATCACATCATTTTCATGTGCTCTTCACACTATTTAGGTTAACATTTCATATTCAAACATTAAAATATACCTTATTGAGCAATGTATTTAGTTACTTTCAGTATTAAAAAAATCCATGAGCTAAGACAATTATTTTATTATATACATTTTATGTATTAAAAACAAACAAGTACATAGAAAATAAATAGTAAACATATTTCATTAGAATTGTTAGTAAACATAATAAGTTAATAGTGCTCATGCATCATTTTCACATAAACTTCATATTGACTTTACAACATTAAACTACTATTTATAACAACTTAGTAACATATTTAATTTGGAAAAATTAAGATATTTTACTTTTCTTCTTTGTGTTATACAAAACATAAATAACATTGATCATTCATATTTGATAAACGGATTATCTTATAGTGTGTAATGCACAAATGAACATTAACACCTATTGAAAACTGTTCTCTTAGCTCATTACATTCATAATACTGATAGTTTAATATTATGCGTTAAATAATATGGGTATTAAGTATTAGATAGATATATCATATGTATAAAAAATTCATTACATTGGTGAGAATATATTTAAAATTTTGTAATAAAAATTAAAATATGATATTTTAAAAGTATACACGCATAGGTTATTCATTTATTTATATTTTGGACTGTGCTTAATTTAATTACATAACTACTTACAATATTATATTATTAATAAAATATTTAAATATAAATGTATAAATAATATTTAATTAATATAATTTAATAAAAAAGGTTTAGAAAATTGGACCATATAAAACAGAACATTAATATAGTAGTACTGTTATATTTTTTTAATTATATGTAGGCAGTGCTTAAGCAACATCATCATAATTTGGTTATTACAAAACAAATTAAAAAAGATTGGCGATTCTAATTTCGAATACAATGGTTACATTTTCCTCCCACACTACTGCAAGTGCATTTCATTCATTCCTAGTCGAGCGCCTATAGAGGTGAACGTAACAGTTGCCACGCGGAGTGACGATCATTTCGTAATCATTCATTGACAAAAAACCTCGCGCCGGTATAAGACAATTGTATTCAATACGGTTGGCGTGCAAAACGCGCCATCGAATGATTTTGTTGTTAATAAACAATGTAAATTATTATAATGTTAATACAAACATGTAATAATAGTTAAATATACGTTGTTCTCATTCATATTAATTATCATTTTACATAAATGCGCTGATTCATGTCGGCGTAAACATTCATTAGAGTTCACCTATAATAATGAATAAAAGCTAAATAGATGTTGCTTTAGGCAAGTTTATTGAATCTTTATCAAAGATGTCATGATACTAAATAAGCGCGCGTAGAAAATTTGACTCGGCAGAAACGCGTCGATTTTAATACTCCGAATGAGCGCCCGAATATGTTAGGGTTAGGGGCTTAAGGACGTTGCCGGAGGTCGCGAATCGAGGCATCCGTTCCACCAAACGTGGGAGAGGAAGTCGGCTACTTATTGTGCTCCTCAATGCGAGACGCTCGATTACGATCAACGGGCGCGACGCGAACGCGCGCGTTCACGTTCCCTTATACGAGTTATTTTATGAGTCCCTTACAAGCTACGTGAACTCCGAAATCAGCGCGCTCCTGTTTTCGGTGTTGAATTTTAATGCTCGTCCGCATTTTCGATAATAATCAACCAGAGGTTTGAGCCAGATGTTCAAGTCGGGTCAAAGTCATGCTTTAAGGACGCGTTTACGAATTCACGCGCTTCAATTTTAGGTACAGAGGCGTACTACTACACGTGCACGGCTCACGCACACAGCGACAAGCGCGAAGCAGCGAAACTTTATGTAACTGACGCAACTTGATACTTTTATTTAATTTGAAGTCATTTATTTTTTAAGCTTACGTTAAATTTGTTTTCAACAAGTTTTTAAACTGAATATTTTTTTATATATTTAGGTATAATTTATTAAATTTCATTTAAAAGCTCGTAGCTGTTGATAATTTGCGTTTTAATTAATTATTCATGATTATGAAGTAAACGAAGCTTGTTTTATACATGTTTGATTATGCGTGCGGTAGGTAGATAGCTTGATAGGTAGGTAATGGTAGGGTACGTAGGAAGGTAGCTATGTAGGCAGATAATTAGGTAAAACCCGCTAACGAATTGAGTAAAATACTTTGTATGGTATTCTGAATGCATTTTGCTGATTCAATAATATTCATGCTAAATGTAAAAAAAAAATAATTTTCTGTAAATGAATTGGAAATAGCATGGCGTACGAAGCCGGGCTAGTATCTAGAAACTAAAAATGAAATAATAAAACGAAGGAAACAAACTAGTAAAAATTAAAAAAACATTTTTATAAAAAAAAACCTGTCGCACTCGGCTCAGCTGGGGTAAAGCTATATATGGCATAGCATCTTTTATCAACTTATGCGATTATAATTATTTAATTATGCAGTATTTTTTCTTTGATATTTATATTTATGTTAATAAATAATAATATTTTAATAATATAATAATTAATATATATTATAATTAATAATATATAATTAATTTATATTATTTACAAAAATGATAAGAACTACTAAGTCAGTCACTAAGCTCTGGATAGTTAAATTACAATATACTAACATTTTTAAACTTGTGATATCTTTCGAATGGAATGTCCGAATTTAATCATTCAAAAAGTTATATAAAGATATTGAAACAGTCTTAAATATAAAGTAATTTATTTTTATAAGAATTAATACCAAGATACAAATAAAGAGCCTTTTCTAGCGGCGGCATTTCAATCAAAATTTTAAAGTAAAAGAATACTTATTGTGGCATAACTATAATAGTTAGACATATACTGTCGCAACACTTTTTATAAATAATGATGTGTTCTGCAAATTCGTAGTACATTATTTTATACAATTATCAATAGTTTTAGCAGCGCACGCGATGCAAACAATATTTTAGGTAATTTTTGTACACTTTGGTTTACATTATTCAAGTTTTAGTAAGGATTCCTAGTTTTTTGAAAATTTAATATATCCTATGTCATCCGGGGATAATGTAGCTTCGAGACAGTGAAAGAAATTTTCAAATCTGTTCAGTGGTTTAGGAGCCTATTCAATGCATAAAAACAATCAAATCTTTCCTCTTGCGTGGTAGGCGGAGTGGGTGGTGTTAGGTTTTATTTTCGTTACGGAATTTATTGATTCGTTCGCCGCGCTCAAAGCCCGCGATAAAAGCTGTGCAATAGCTTAAAAAAATATTGTTTCATTTTTAATTTGACTCTTCCATGCTCTTCGCAGAACTGTCGCTATGTCGATCCTGGGTGGAGCAAGCCCGCGAGGCCAATTTATACCTCCGACACGAGGTTCTGGCTCCGCCTTTTGATGTTCACTCTAGGGATAGGGAAGACCACACGGAGTCGGGGTGCTCTGTGTCGGATCTTTGTGATTTTTCTTTATAGTTCTCTATCATTTAATTATTTTTGTTATCTATATCGAAGTAGTAGCCTGCTAAAATTTTATCGTTTTAGGCTTTGGCATCTGAAACAACAATTGAGTTATAAGAGGTATAAATGTTGTATGTGATAACTGTGCCATAAAAATAAGTCTTTGATAATTTAAGTTGAGACCCACTACATTTTTACATAACTATTTTTTTTTTTTTTTCGTGTTTTGCCTATTTTAAAGACGTTCTTACTTATTTTAAATTAAGTATTATTTTAGGCAGAATCCATGATCATAAAAGTTGATCAGTGCGAAACACGACAAAACAATAAACGATAAATGGGGTCATAAACGTGAAACAAAAAGTTTGCCACATAGCTGTCGTTCGAAACTTTTGAAGTACATGTTTATTACACCTATTCATTGAAACATACAAAAAAATGACCTTTTAGACATGCCTAATCTTACAATTTGCAAGTGTGCAAATTTGTTTTGTATTACTTGTATTTTTAATTATCCATACAACTTTTCTACATGTGGTGTACTTTTGGCCAACATTTGGCTGCATGGAAATAAGAATTTATAATAAAATACCAGATAGGTTCATAGGCCTCCCGGAGTATTTAAATTTAAACGAAAATTCTAAAATCTGTACACTGTCAAATTAGACATTTAAAATATTTAATCATGTCTAAGTAATGTAGAATGTTTATATTAAAAATTCATTACTTTGACTTGTGATTTACTTTGACTTATATTTATACTCTATTGACTCATAATTATAATCTAAATTTCAATTTTTTTTTTTTATATTAACATGTTTCACAAATATTTATACACAGAATTGATGTAGAATACGTAGTTCCATATTTTAAATAACTTTTTTACTGTATTCTTACACCTTCATGCCAATACATCAATTTCAAAGGTAAGGTCTCAAAAAAACTCACAAAACAAGCCCAAACTCGACACACATAGCTCATCTCGTCTGTTAGTTCCAGTAGCAGTTCTCGAAGTACACCTTCAGGTCACTCCATCTAGTCAGAAGGCAAGGTCTCACCATACCTAACAAAACAAGCCCAAACTCGACACACATAGCTCATCTCGTCTGTTAGTTCCAGTAGCAGTTCTCGAAGTACACCTTCAGGTCACTCCATCAAGTCAGAAGGCAAGGTCTCACCATACCTAACAAAACAAGCCCAAACTCGACACACATAGCTCATCTCGTCTGTTAGTTCCAGTAGCAGTTCTCAAAGTACACCTTCAGGTCACTCCATCAAGTCAGAAGGCAAGGTCTCACCATACCTAACAAAACAAGCCCAAACTCGACACACATAGCTCATCTCGTCTGTTAGTTCCAGTAGCAGTTCTCGAAGTACACCTTCAGGTCACTCCATCTAGTCAGAAGGCAAGGTCTCACCATACCTAACAAAACAAGCCCAAACTCGACACACATAGCTCATCTCGTCTGTTAGTTCCAGTAGCAGTTCTCAAAGTACACCTTCAGGTCACTCCATCAAGTCAGAAGGCAAGATCTCACCATACCTAACAAAAACAAGCCCAAACTCGACACACATAGCTCATCTCGTCTGTTAGTTCCAGTAGCAGTTCTCGAAGTACACCTTCAGGTCACTCCATCAAGTCAGAAGGCAAGGTCTCACCATACCTAACAAAACAAGCCCAAACTCGACACACATAGCTCATCTCGTCTGTTAGTTCCAGTAGCAGTTCTCCAAAGTACACCTTCAGGTCACTCCATCAAGTCAGAAGGCAAGATCTCACCATACCTAACAAAACAAGCCCAAACTCGACACACATAGCTCATCTCGTCTGTTAGTTCCAGTAGCAGTTCTCGAAGTACACCTTCAGGTCACTCCATCTAGTCAGAAGGCAAGGTCTCACCATACCTAACAAAACAAGCCCAAACTCGACACACATAGCTCATCTCGTCTGTTAGTTCCAGTAGCAGTTCTCGAAGTACACCTTCAGGTCACTCCATCTAGTCAGAAGGCAAGGTCTCACCATACCTAACAAAACAAGCCCAAATTCGACACACATAGCTCATCTCGTCTGTTAGTTCCAGTAGCAGTTCTCGAAGTACACCTTCAGGTCACTCCATCTAGTCAGAAGGCAAGGTCTCACCATACCTAACAAAACAAGCCCAAACTCGACACACATAGCTCATCTCGTCTGTTAGTTCCAGTAGCAGTTCTCGAAGTACACCTTCAGGTCACTCCATCAAGTCAGAAGGCAAGGTCTCACCATACCTAACAAAACAAGCCCAAACTCGACACACATAGCTCATCTCGTCTGTTAGTTCCAGTAGCAGTTCTCGAAGTACACCTTCAGGTCACTCCATCTAGTCAGAAGGCAAGGTCTCACCATACCTAATAAAACAAGCCCAAACTCGAAATACATAGCTCATCTCGTCTGTTAGTTCCAGTAGCAGTTCTCGAAGTACACCTTCAGGTCACTCCATCAAGTCCGTAACGAAATATGAATTTTTAACCCCTACTAATTTCTAGTAAAAATATGACAAAGTGTGAATTATAGTTTACTTTTGTCGTTCGTAGTCCGAAGTCCGAACATGATGTGTAAAGTATCAACTTTGTTACGACAAATATTTTGTATTCGTACAGCGATCTTTTTCCTCACGAGCTGCTGTTTATAAGCGACATAGTGACCACTCATGACGGCAGCCGAGCGCCGACTAATATTTCTTTAAATATTTTTGTGGAATAAATCAAAAAAGTGACCAGTAAAATAACCTTTATGTCAATCACTTAAGATTCACGCGTAAGATATAAATGTGAAAGAAATAGATTTTAATCTTTATTTTTTTCTGAACTAATTTTAATTTCAACAATTTTGATACGTAATGTAGCTACCTTTTTGAGTTGAACATGTGTGCTTACATAAAATATTTTTAAATAAAAAAAATATGTTATTAAATAAGAGAAAAATGTTCCTAAACCCAACAGGATATCGTCCATTTTGAGTGAAGTGGTCACGAAAATTCTCATTTACAATATTATAAACCAAAATTTTCGATTAAAAACTATCTACCATTTGAAGATGAAGGAGGGATCTATATGTGATAATTATTACTTACATTATATTCGTTTCGTTTTGCCGCAAAATGTACCTGAAAACCCCCTATTTTTGCAGATTCCGCGAGATTTCGCAAACACGCCCTTAATAAAAGTTCGAGTGAAACAAACAAAACAGGAGGATCACGACCATTACTTTTGGGTTCAATCTTTTAAAACTTGTTCAGAGAATGTTAATCGTCCCAGGAATGCAATTCGTTTGTAAATTGAATGTACATGCTTAAAAAATAATTGATATCTTGAAGCTTTACAAAAAAAAAATAATAAAATATCTTTATTCACATAGACGCTTGCGCGTTCTTATGAAACGTCAAAATTTTACAAGAAATTAGCACGTTCGTAAGTTACCACCGGTTCGGAAAGCAGTTTCTGTTGAGAAGAAACCGGCAAGAAACTCAACAGTTGCTCTTTTTTAAAAAATCAGTTTACAATATAATAGTACAGGTACAAGTCTAGAAAATCGAAAATAACATTTCCTCTTCGGTGTTGGGGTTAAATAATTTATCGACGATTAATGCTGCTGGGGCCTTTATGGAGAGTAGCGTCTGAGCCCATAAAACTAATATAACATGCAAGATCAAAGGCTGGACGGAAGCCGCACCAGGCGCTCGACCGGAAGTGGGCCGCGATTTTATTAATGAGTTCCTGTTGCGTCCTCATCCCGCCAATCAGGCGCGTTGCCGCCATTTTAAAGCTTACCGGTCCATCTCGGCGGCGGCGGCCGTTACAGCTCGTTCGATTTCCGAAAACCGTAACGTTCTTCCCCCCTTCGGCCTCCTTAATTAGTCTTAGTGTTGCGTAACGTTTCTAAAAGGTCACTGTGACGCTGTTCTCTACATATTATTAATAAATCGTCTAATGCCACTGTGACCGTTACACGTTTGAATGGTGATCGAGATATTTCTATGCGAAAACGCCTGGGATTTTTTTTATGTTAGAAGGTAGCAAGCGAGCTAGCGATCAAGTGATAACCACCGCCCATTTGCAACACTCGTAGGGTTGCAGACGCGCAGCCACCATTCAATGAAACGCAGAATACTAACACTTCCATTTCACGTTGGTCTTCTGTGAAGTCGTAATTACCCGGACGGACCTGACCATTCGCAACAGATAAGACAGAAAAGACTAGCGTGGTTCTAGGACAGTTTGATATAACAGGACACTGGACAGTTGTTTTTAGTGGACCGGGCATGTAATATTTTTTGTATTCTCTCTGTTATTATGTACTTATGGTAGAGGTTGTTTCGCTTCATGGCTTTTTTTTTATGTGAAAAGTTGCCAAACGAGCAGACGGTTCACCTGATGTTAAGTGAATTCTGCCGCCCATGGACATCTGCTACACCCGAGGGTTGCAGATGCGTTGACAACCTTTTGAAAATTGGGCTCCGGCCACCTCAGTCACCAGACGAAACGCGAAGCATTATACTTCCACTTTACGCCGGTCTTCTGTGTGGTCGTGGTACTTACACGGACGAGCCTGCCCATTCGTGCAACAGCTGAGGCTGCTACGTGGCCCTACGACCGTAAAATGAGGCTGCTACGTGGCTTTTATATATCATTTAAATAATCGTCAAATATATTTATTTTTAATATCAAAACAAGCTCCCTGGGTAAAAGGGTAACTTTGTCAAATATTATTCAATGTCCCTACTCTGCAGCGATTGGCGCCAGGATCCGGTTAAATATAAAACTTAGTCACTTTAATTAAATACATTATTGTGCACGCGTTTTCCGTTCGATTTGTTCATATTATCTCTCATATCGATAATTATTTCATTTTATAAATGTTCACAACCATAAAACTTCATAATAATTACTCACATTCTTTTGGTTACAAATATTATATTGAAGGATGTAATAAATAAAGCATTTGGAGACCCGGTTGCCTTTGTGTACGATGGACATGTCTATTGCATCAGAGGGTGTGGGTTCTATCCCCACTACTGGAAAAATATTGTGTGATGAACATAGTGTTTTTTAGTTTCTAGGTGTTTATTTATCCATAATAAACATATAGGTGTGGTTGACGGTGGATGTTTAAGTTAAAAGTAAATTTATCATACGTGATGTGAGTCCATAGTTTGCTTCGTTTAGGACTTTCTGTGAATAACGCCTGAAATATTTATTTAAAATGTTTATTTGCAATTTTAATCAATAATCGTATCTCTAATTCATTATTGACTGAAATATAAATAATCTTGTCTTGTGCTCACCAAGATCTAAATGTAAATAGTACAGTCGTTCTTTATCGTACTTGACTAACAGACTAACTCTGCGTATTCGATTCCGAACAATAAAAAAAGTGCACCCATCGGAAAATCAAACCAAATCGCACGATATCCATATAAAATGTATGTATAAAATGTCCATAAACATGTACTTTCTCAAGTAACTTTTGCGACATAGCGGATTATGCATTATTTATATCTCCGAATTCCATTTCGGCGGTGCGGATATTTTTAATCGATCTCATTAGATAACACAGGAAGCAGGCCATAAACGTTCGTCGCAAGCATTAGGGATGCAGAAAGTGAAGAAATAAATCGATATTTATAAAAATATCAATATCGAAGCCGATATATCGATATTTTCTTTTTAGGTCCTGTTGTCCAAAAAAACGTATGTCAAGTATTAAATATTTGATTTCGATATTGAATATTTTATATCGATATATCGGATCAAAATATATCTCTTAAAAATATCGATAATTTTTTTCGGCATCCCTAGCAAGCATTAGTACGGACGCGAATGATGTCGAGATTTTGACGGTGCACAGAGCCCTAGAGCCGCCTATGGCCGCTCGTAAAACACGACTCTACGTGCAAACAGGATGACGTGAAGTGTGAAGTGTATTACTGTTTTACCGTATTATTAATTACGAAGGGAAATTTCGGGAATCTGGGTCGTGAGGGTTTCCGATCTCCGATGCTGTTTATTTAGCTTTTGACGGCTCCCTAAACGTGCCTCATTTATAGTAAAAAGTTCAAATGTTTGCATATAGAGAACATATTTTGTATACAGCGTGTCGTTACCATCGCGACAATAAATGAACACACGTCTAACGCTACTTGCCAATAATCATAAAAAAATATTAACGTTAAACAAAATCCATAATTAAAAAAAAAAATATATTTTTCAAACAAACTCATTAAGTTAAAATGAAATAAAATTTGTAACATCCTATACAACTCGCGCCACAGCGTCGCATTACAAGCCTCTCCTTCTAACAGTATGTTTTGTCTCTTTTAAATTCATTCAACCCATTCATATGCTTTGTGACCTTTACAAATGAACTTTACGTTACGCTTTTATAGCTAAGGGTGTTCTAAAATTCTTTGTTTTGGAAAATTTAATAACTCTGTAAATATTGATATTTAAAGAATTTAAATGTTTAATACAACTTTAAAAAGTTATCCCCTATATGTGTGTTCATTTTTTGTCGCGATGGTAACGACACGCTGTATATAGATATCTCTAAACCAGGGTACTAAACCAATATTGAAGTTTTAAATAATGAAAGTCTAAATTTGCCCTTAGTGATACAGGTTATAATTTAATCAAATGATAAATAAGTTAAATTAAATACCTCCATACATATTTATAGATCACGTTGAATCTGAACTGGATTTTTGTCATTACATGTTATTATTATATTAATATTGCTTTGGGTTATTTAAGTTTAAATGTTTATATTCCATATAAAGTACTTTAGACAAATTAATTTAAACTTGGTCGGCAGTAGTCGAAATTCGACCACAATTATTAAATGGTGATAGCCGTGTGTTTTTAGTATTGAATAGTTGTATTTTTTATGCATAATCAAAAAAAATATTAGCATTCTGCTGTACTTCTCCCTATAAACTATAAGTGTGGGAAATTTCATTTTCGTAAAAAACGGTACAAAGATTCTGCTTCACGTATTAGTTAAGTAACAATTTCTTTATTATTCTTTATAGGTAAAGTCTAGCGAGTGTATCATTTAATTAGGTCAATAGGCATATGGTAAAATCCTGAGCTAACAAGCCATCCATCCTTCTGATTAATGTGGTAGCCGGGGCCCACTTTATTATAATGTGGCAATACATCTGCAACTCTACGGGTGTTGCAAATTTCCATGGCCGCCATGCTTGCCACCTTCTTCGGTAATCAAATAACTAACTATTAATAATAATTAAATGCTGTACAAATTATTGGAACAAGAAGCTTACTTAGACAGGTCACGTTTTCGTTGTACATAACTAGGTCAATAAGGCCGCGTGATGGGAAATAGATTCTCCGCTTTAGATGCAACCGGTCGCGTTTACATCCCAGTTTTCTCTGTTATGCAATGAAATCATGCAATGCTTGTCGTGACGTCCTATTTTGTCAATGCTTACCGGACATACAATGTTAAGGCTGGCCCGAGGGAAATGTGATTATCGCGGATCAGCGTCGACTGAGTAACGTTAAAAAACAGATTACATACAGTATTTATGTTGAGGGACTTTGAGACATATGGCTTAAAGCAGACATTTTCAAGATGTTTTTTCTACAACTATAAAAAATGCAGTCAATATTAATCGCAGCACACGCATATGAAGTTATGTCTTATTGAGAAATAAATACTGTTGAAAAAAAAATATATTATTTATTTATTTCTCAATTTCACCACCATCGTTACATGAAAATTTGCAAACACGAACAGTTGCAATCTTCTTTCTTGTCGTGTCCATCATGTCTGATGATCGTGGTTGGCGGTCGTCGTTCGAGTTGTTCAAGGTGCAATAAGATTAGAAAATTAAAGCTTAAAAATTTTACTGAAATCAAATAGGAAGATATTGAATCGAATGTTGAGTTCAAATGTTTATACTCTACAATAGATAAAAAAAACTTTTGCGCGCGAAAAAAATCATGACCGAACGTAGAATGCCTTAGTCGGAGCGGCAACGTCTCATTTTCCGAAGTACACCGGCCGATGTGTGGGCGATGTGCCGGCGGCGTCGCAGTCTCACTGATTGTTATTCGTTTCTTTCCTTTACACGGCCCAGAGGGATTTTAATAAATATTCGTGATAAACATGAATTAATCTTTTAGAAGTCTGTGTCAACAAGGTTGGACAGATGTTCTTAACATTGTTTTAATCCCAAACACTATTATAAGGATTTGTTCGTTTAGACTTGTGTACTACTTATAGTAAGTAATCGAATTTTGACGCGTCTTTTTTTAATCTTTTAACGTTTTGAACACGTTCAAATATACCAGCCAGCATTGCAGATTAAATTCATGAAATAGTTTTCTATTTTCAGCAACCAATTTCAATTAGATTTTGTCTATTTATAGACATTAACCTAGTTTTATTATTGGCCTATTGTCTGTGATGAAGTTTTATACAATATTTATAAATACGGTACGGTACAAAATGCAGTCTATTTTGAACGTTATGGTCAATCTCGCTGTTAAAATGGCGCGTAATGCAATACAATTAATGTTGTAGAATGTGCAACACATTTACTATTTCTTTACACGCAACGATTTAATTCGCGCTCAGCTCGTAGAAATCTCTCAACGGACGAGGCGCCAAATGACATTGGGTCATTTTTGCCTGAACGAGCCTCGTTTTACTCGGTCCGTTTTTATTTCATTTTATTGTCTTGTCACGGTACGGCGAGTCAGAATGGGAGAAAAAAAAACGCGACAGAGCTGTCCTTTTTTCGCACGAGAGCTTCCTACAGACATTGCGACTGTTTACAATTATGCAAATAATCGACTATGGCCGAGTGGGATCGGTGCCGTCGATACCCGTGTTCCGCTGATATTATTATCGTAGCGTTGGCCATGATCGCAGTGTTTTAAGGATAAATTATGCGACACAATTACGATGCCATTGTTAGATGTAGATTTTTTATTATATCAATCCTACCTGATGGTTGGCTGGTGATCTCTTTTGTTGGTGTACGCCGTGGGTCAATGCTGTGGGCTTAATCATGCAACAGAACGAAACCGCAGTTTGATGCCCATTTAACTCGGAAAAAAAGTTAAATCGTCTAATAAGTAACATAAATAACTAAGTTTTCAAGTTTGAAGTGTTTACTTTAAAAAAATTACTCCCGTACTAGTTAATGATCGCATTAATTCACTGTTATGACAAAAAGGACATTAAAGGCTCTGAACAGCCTATTGTTGGAAATTTCGTTACATAGCCAGCCACATTTTAGGTTCGATTATCCTCTCGAAAATCCGGCGCGTGATTGCCTGTCGCGCGTCATATGTCATAACTATGTGTATTGGAAGTATTTTTAATTCAGGCTAAAAAAAATATCACTTAAGACTGATCATAATTTATTCGGCTCGATCACAAAAAAGTCCGTAAAAGTCTCGACGTTTGGCGACACTACTTATCGCCGACGCTATCTGCCGCCGGCCGGCGCCACTAGCGCCTATCGCGCCGAAATCGAACCCACGCCTAATTGCTCCAATATGAAGCAGCGGACACCCTACTATCGCCGCACAAGTTCGGGACAAAATTTAATACAAGAATTCATGAATGGGACCGTAGAGGTTGAGCCCTGTAGTACCCTAACTATTGAGCACTCTGAAGATTCTCCAGTAATTATGAGGGATTTGCTTAGTTTATTTTTTTACTATCATACGTTCCAGTCAGATACAGACTGCATGTAAAGCCGTTGAATATTTTATCTTTGAAAATATGTCATCGGTGTGGTACACGTGAATTAATATTGATTTACATGTTTTCAGATTGTAACTACATTAATAACTTGTGTTGTAACTTTGTATTAGGGTCAATAGAAATAAAAAATGCATTTCTGAAGCATTTCAGACTAGTGTAAAAGTAGGTTAGGTAGTAATACTAATTATTATGCGAAGAAGAAACCCCTGGAATAAGACTGCTTGACAATTTCATCAAAATCGGTCCAGCCATTTTGGAGTCTAACGCCCGGTTTCTGAAATACTGATCATCATAGAAGTTAACTAATCAGCTGTCAAATGGCTTTTTAAATTTTATTTGAGTTGGCAAAAGGGTTGTTAAACTCTTTGAATTGATCATTATGATCAATCAGGGTATGCAATATAAGAGAACACGACTGGCGTAACCTCATTACTATCCTCACGCCTACACAAGAGGGCATAAAACGAATAAATACGTAATACTAAGTAATAAGTAAGACTGTTCCCAGCAACCGGATCGTAAAAACGATTTCTTACTTCTCCCACGAGACAGGCGCGTCTGCTATCATCGCGTTTCCGTTAAAACGAAACGGAATCACGCCAACCGGCACATATACAAACGGCGGCCAAACGATACTTCGCAATTCGCGGAAACGTGTTCGTACGCGAATTTAACGAACGATTTCTACTGATCCTAAATTTCCATCGTGTAACGTTACCGAGAAGCGGGAATTGAAGCGCTCGTGACGTCACCCGTGTTCCGAGAAACGCCGGCCTCTGTCGACCATCGGTTGCTCTATCACTATTGTTTCCTTAACGCGAGTACTGGAGTTCAATTCGACACCGCGCCTCCGAGCTTAGCGGCGATCCTATCCTTGTCAATTATAAAGAAATTACCTTATGTATGCAGCGTCCGCGTCGGTTAATTTATAGACGATTTCCCTATCATTAGTGGGTACAGTACTATTTTCATTGGTATTGAATTTTAGACCCGGAGATATATGAGGGAACTTCTCGAAATTTCACAGAATAGGTATATTGAGTGAGATATTTTAAGTCTGTGTCGTTTTTAGATAATGAAAATATACTAATTTCTTTGCGTATAACGTTAGGCTGATAGCGTATCAACGATGTTCATCACGATTGTCAATGCTTGCTGTTTCGT